AAAAAAAACGGGTGCTTTTCTTAGTTGACCAGAGGGATTCGTTCAGCACCATTTTGGTAGTCGACCATATCGGCCTCCACAGCTGTGGTCACGTCTGCAAGATCCCGTCGAAGAACAAAGTCGATGCAGTACTTTTCGTACTCCTCGCTATAGTTACGGTAATGTTGGCAGTGTCTTGAATCTTTCCAGATATGACGATGGGTATCGACACCCCGTCGTTCTTGGATGGAGGCGAAAGCTTCGATTGATTCGCATGAACAGACCTGAAATTGTTGGTTTGTAACATTACGATTTAATTTAATAAATAACAGAAGGCTTATATGGGAACACTTTACCTGTTTGTTCCCAATTTTCGGGAAAAAAAGGAACAACTAGGTAAAGTGGGCCCCTCACTCACCCCTCCCCACATCCCAATAAGGTCTTGAATCCCCTTCAAGACTCCGGAAGCTTCCCTCATGATGTACCAGTCCCAGCGCCGAGAAATGGGAGCTTTGTCAAGTGAAAGGCTTTTGATTCTTCAGATTGAGAGACGATTCAAGGGAATTTATGGTGGTAAATGAAAGGATGAAGGGGAAAATCCAGAAGGTCAGCTCATTCCTAGACTGGGACTTATTGCTAGATCTGCTGTTCGACTACCTTTACATTACTATAAATTTTGGTCCTTTTATCTCCCTTCCAGCGCAGCAGGCCCTTTTCCCGAAAATTTCTGGGACCCCTTCGCGTTTTTAGAATTCTGACTTCCCCTTTGACCTCTTAGCCCTTGTGCCTATCCACAAGGAACCCAAATGTCTGAACACAGGTGCTCAGGTATCGAACCAACTTGTTGAAAGAAGTTGATAGGCTTCGTATCCAGAATTTCTCTTTGTAAAGCAGCTTCTAAGATTCTGATAAGAAATGGCTTCAAAATGAATAAGACGCTGACGCGATTGACTCACATCATCGGCGGGCGTGTAGAAGTATATCTGCCTCGCCGGTAGGTCCTTTATGGAAATTAAACGGTAGTATGCGTAACATCTCTCGTAGATATCCTCTTCCAAGAGCGACCACAGCCATATGAGGCAGCTGAAAATACGTTACAATATTTGATCATTGTGCTACAGTTATCGTAAACATCGTACAGCCCTCTCGTTAATCGGACAAAACTCTCAAATATGTGCCAAATTCATGGTCAGGTACCAGAACCGTGATGATCTCAACTAGGCACTTCATCCCCATGGCGTCAGCTAATCGTATAAGCCTCAAATCAGAAGAAAACCCTTCTCTTCACATGACTGGCACCCACTGGCAACTTACTGCATTGACTTAAAATGTACATATGCAATCGTCATGATGCAAACGGTTCTGAATAGATGTCTGATGCGTGACGCATGCCTAACTAGAAGTAATCATCGTCAGCATATCCATCCTTTGGGCTGCACTCTGCAGTATTCAACTCCGGCTATGCACATGGTCATGAAATGAGCCGAAAAAGAAATCAAATATTTCAGCGATTGGGAGAGGATGTCGGATGCACGGCGTGAACCGAGCGGGGAGCGCTGGAAGCTCCCAACAAATCGGAAAGTTGATTGAAAATCGAAAAAGTGAACGAATCATCCGATTTTTAATGTTCGACATGCTGCTGCCAAAGGCGGTGCAAGAAGGGTTTAACGGACAGGATAGCTTAGTTCCACTGATTTTTCTATATATTCTTATACAGGGAAGAGGTGGTGTGGTGGAGTCAGTTGGTGAGCCGTCCGGGCCAGCTCACCAACTGACTCCAGACCAGTCTGGGAAGATGAAAGCCCTGAGCTGTAAATTGGCTGGCCACCTAAAGTCATTGTATAGAATGGATGCGCACTCAAAAAGGAACTGCGCTCATGAATGGAAACCGAGTGTATGGCGTATCCGAAACGGGATTTATTAAGGCTACAGGCTTACCCTTCACCCTCGATTTTCTTATTCTATTGCTATTAAATTTATATAGCTATTCCAAAGGGCTATTTCAATAATGTGCAAGCAATAAATAAATGTTGAAAGCAATAAATAAATAATGAAATTAGCAGTTCGGAACGCAGCATGAAAGGTCGCCAATACTTTTTGTTAGGGCTACAGGTGAAGCGATTCAAGGTAAGGTCAAGTGAATGTCCAACAATGGAATACACAAAGGGTAAGGAAAGGTTCATCAAATAGCTCGGACTTTGTCAACACTACTGTAAATTTGAAGTAATTTAACCTCCTCCCCCTCCTCGTGTTGTATTTCCAATAGGTGTGAGAAGAACCTTTGAGGAACTTGAGCAAGACTTCTTCTTACTTTACTTTTATTTTTTCCGACCTTACTTTTCTGCATATCAGAAATTTCTCAGTTTATTCTATTTGAGCCGTTCGACGGGGAAGGCTGAAGTTTGTTCAAACTGTCGTGTGTAATGTAAGAAGTGCTATATTGTAGCTACATACAATTGTTGGTTGCTTGAATACCTTCTGTGGGAAATGAGCTCATTACCAAATCTGTGCTTATATCCTCCCAGATAACTTTGGCACCCGATGTCTTACCACATACTGGTGAAAGGTTGGTTCCAATCGGCGAGAGTCGATTCCCAACTCATGCGTGTGTGCTAGTGTACCCCCACTCGCCTCTACACCACTTCCACCTGAAGATAGCTTAGTCAATGTGTAGGTCGCACTCCATTCGGGCCCATTACCAAGACCATGGTTACTTCCTTCTGGAAGTCTCTGAATTAATTGATGGCCCGATTACCTTCTGAGATACAAAGGCATTGGTCGTGGGA